CCACCCACTTCAGCCCTCAATGGTGCTGGATTACAGGCCTGAGCCACCCACGCCAGGCCTTTCATATGTAGTTTAAAAGCAAATTTGTTTTCTATGACTATGACAAGAAATAGATCATTTTCTTCTGGTTAACGGAACAAAGTGAAAAGAAATTCTTTTTTTTTGTTTTTTTTTTTTTTTGAGACAGAGTCTCACTCTGTTGTCTAGGCCTGGAGTGCAATGGTGTGATCTCAGCTCACTGCAACCGTCCAACCTCCCAGGTTTAAGCAATTCTCCCCGCGCTCAGGCCTCCCAAGTTAGCTTGAGGTTTTAGCAGGTGGCGCACCACCACCACCAGCAATTTTTTGGTTTTTCGAACAGAGTTCTCAGCTCTTCAGCGCCCACTGAGTGCAAGTTGTCGTGATCTCAGCTCACCACACACCTCCAAGCTCCCTGAGTTCCGAACAATTCTCTTGCCTCGAGCTCCCAAGCTACCGTGGGATTACAGGGCATGTGGCCACCTATGCGCCAGCTAATTTTTGCTATTTGTTAATAGAGTGGGGTTTTCTCCATGCTGGTCAGCTGCGTCCTCAAACCTCCGAACCTTCAGGTGACGATCGCCGCCCACCTCGGCCTCCCCAAAGTGCGGGATTATAGGTGTGAAGCCACTGGGCACCTGGGCCCAAAGTGGAAAAGCAAATTCTGAGCCATGCATCACTTGAGTGCTCAGCTACACGGGAGGCTGAGGTGGGAGGGTCACTTGAGTGTGGGAGATACAGGCTGCAGTGAGCCATGATTGTGCCGCTGCACTCCAGCCTGGGTGACAGAGTGAGACCCTGTCTTAAAAAGGAAAGAAGAAAGAAAGAAACAGAGAAAGAGAGAAAGAAAGACTAGAAAGGGAGGAAGGGAGGAGAAGGAAGGAAGGAAGGAGAGAAAAGGAGGAAGGGAGAAGGAAAGAAGGAAGGAAGGAGGGAAGGAAGGAAGGAAAAGAAAGAGAAAAGAAAACAGAAATAAGCTACATATGAGATTTGATGCTAAGCAAATATAGTTGTGTTCAGAGAAAACTTTCCTCAGCTTACCCGGTGCAATGGTATTACCTCCCTTGTGAAATTCCTGGCACTGTAGTAGGTTCCCAGCCAATATAAGACCGCCTCCTCCTTCCACATCAACCTCAGTAGCCAAGGTTTCCTAACTCCTGCCTTTAAACGGAAGAAACTGTATCAATGTCTCCTAATGTAACAGTTTCATAGCAGGCAGTAAAGAAAACCAAACTGAAAGAGCCACTTGAGCAGAGGAGGTAGACAAACCTGTTGTATTGGTTGGCATTCAGGGAAAACTCAAAGTCACAAGGCATCACCTCAAGACCATCCAGAAAAGCTCCTTGGGCCTTTGATCCGGTAAGCACGCAGCTGGTCTCCTAGAGAGCGCTGTAGGGATTCTGAAATGATCACATATGGTTTTAACCCAGCCCCAGCTGGATGTAGATACAAGAACCAAGAATTTGCCCTGTAGGTGTATGACGAGTTGCTTCTTCATAAGTTGTGCAGAGACCCAGCAGGCAAAGACACACCTGTTCAAAGCTAATATTCTGTTAAACAATAACCAGGGATTACTCATGAAGTTCCTCCAGATGTCTGAAGACTCCCAGAGGCGAAAGGCCCCAACTGAAAGGCCTGGCAGTTGTTCAAAAGTCACGCTGGATTACTGCAGCTTCCAGCTGCTCAAATGGAAACTGCCCAGGTCAAAGAGTTCTAGCAGCAGTGTAGTGGCGCTTTAACTACATATTACTTTCACCTGCATCTTCCAGACTCTTCCCATTTTTTAACTACATATTACTTTCACCTGCATCTTCCAGACTCTTCCCATTTTTTTTTTTTTCTTTTCCAGGACCTGAAAAAAACTCAGAATAATAATAAAAAAAAGAATAGCAGTAACTCCTTTTTCCTGTGTTGCTGCTTGTGCCGGACCCTGTAGAACTGCATAATATGCTACATCAACTCCGTCAACATTTCTTCATAACAATCTGCAAGGAAGTATTATTGTTCTTATTTTACAAATGAAAAAGCTGAGACTCAGAGAGGTGGGGTAACGTGCTAAAGTTCATGTAGCTAACAAGTGGCAAAGATAGGATCTGAATTCGGGATGGATTGGCGTGAATACCCCCAATCTTTGCACTCAGTACACAGCTTCATACTTACATGCAGGGTTACAATGTGCTTGATAAGGCAAGGAATCTCTACCAACACAGAATTGTTTTGAGGATTAACTAAGAAAACATAAATAAGCACACAGCCTGTTGCCTGATATACATTAGGAACTCAGTAAATGCTGATTTTGTTTTAAAATCATCCATTCTGGAAAATGTGCCATGGAATGGGACAGGCCCACAGTGGTTTTTTCATAGAGAGTTTCTATAGAGTGGGTTCTGGGGACAACTATTATATATTTTAAAATAGCAGCGCTCACATGCTCCATAGTAAATCAGTTGGCCAAGTTAAAAATAGATTCTAAACATAGCAGGAGCAGAAATTCAATCTAAGATACTAAGTCATGGAAAGCAGTTGACTGTGGCTGCAATAGAGAAAAGGAAGTGCGGGCACACACTGATTCTATGTGTGGGTAAAATTCTCCAACCTCCATTTCAGGTTTGTTCTATTCTCCATAGCAGAAAACACACACACAACACATATATATGCATACATGCATATATAGATGCATGCAAATAAACTAAGATGACACATTCTATTTATCTGCAATAGCACCATTTACAAACCTATTAATTTTGAGGTTTTGGTACTTATTAGCACATACTAGATACACTACAACAATATATGGTTCCTTAACATTTTTAGGTGTAAGAGAGAGGATGGTTAATGTTTACAATATTTGGGGTGCAGATACACAGATGGCTAGACCGGTAGATAACTAGAAAGGACGGGGGCAGAAGCCGTATCCCCTCTGTGCCCAGTCAGTTTACAGCGGCAGCCTTAGAAAGCTGGGTTAATGCTACCATTCTGTCACTTGAAACCCCGGGAGCTGGTATGCCAGATAAAACTCCAATCACTGTGCCAAGGACTCAGGAAAAGGCACGGAGCTTAGGTTCTCCCTCAGCCTCCTACTTTTAAACTGTTGTTTAGAGCACACAATTACTCTTCTCTCAGTTGCTAGGGTGGGTACTTCAGCTGTGGGTGTGACTATTTAGGGAGGAAGCCATGAAATGTATATCCTTAAATCACATAATCTTATTCCATGTATGTCAAGAAGAGAATGACTGAGGGATGTGTATTATAAACTGGAGCAATGGCACATCACATCAAATAAACCTTTCTGTAAGATACTAACATAAAAGCAGATCCATTATACATATAAAAGAAGAATGATACAGAGCAGATCAGCATGGTCCCTGAGAGAGGATGACACGTGAATTCATGAAGCATTCCATATTTTTAAAAACACCAAAACAGGCTGGGCGCGGTGGCTCACGCTTTTAATCCCAGCACTTTGGGAGGCCGAGGTGGGCGGATCACTTCAGGCCAGGAGTTCGAGACCAGCCTGGCTAACATGGCGAAACCCCATTTCTACTAAAAATACAAAAAATTAGCCGGGCGTGGTGGCAAGTAACTAATCCTAGTTACTCTGGAGGCTGAGGTGGGAGAATTGCTGGAACCCAGGAGGTGGAGTTTGCAGTGAGCTAAGATCGTGCTACTGCACTACAGCCTGGGAAACAGAGTGAGATTCCATCTCAAACAAACAAACAAACAAACAAAAAACACCAAAACAGGCCGGGGGCGGTGGCTCACGCCTGTAATCCCAGCACTTTGGGAGGCTGAGGCAGGTGAATCATCTAAGGTCAGGAGTTCAAGACCATCCTGGCCAACATGGTGAAATCCCGTCTCTACTAAAAATACAAAAAATTAGCCAGGTGTGGTGGCACATGCTTGTAATCCCAGCTATTCAGGAGGGTGAGGCAGGAGAATTGCTTGAACCCGGGAATGAGAGATTGCAGTGAGCTGAGATGGCGCCACTGCACTCCAGCCTGGTGGACAAAGCGAGACTGACTCTGTCTCAAAACAAAACAAAACACAAAAATAACAACAACAACAACAACAACAACAAAACATAGAGAAAGACTTATGACACAACTGATAATTTAGGATCAATAACTTTCTCCTTTTTAAAAAGAAAAAAAAGCTTGAAATATATTTGTAAAACACCGTGTGAAATAAAATAATTGAGGATAAAAACACAGGAGAGTGGTTAGCAGTGCAGGTTTTGGAGTCAGGCTATTTGTGTTTGGTCTATACTAACTGTGGGTCTTTGGACAGGAAGTCTCACTTCTCCAGGTCATGGTGTCCTAAAATGTCATAGTATACAATTCATAGAGTCATTGTGACTCTTAAAGTCCTATATGCTAGCTATGATCCTAGCACATAGAATTCTAAACATTAGCTATTACCATTTTCTAAAAGTAACAGAGGCAACAGATGACTAAATACTTGAGATAAGCGGATTACTGTAATTGAGGACTGATTTTCCTAGGAGCTAAGAAAAAAAAAAAAGGTTTTACTTTCTGACAAAGAAACAGTCAGCATACATCAATGAAGACTGCCCAAACTTAAACAGGAGATTAGTAAAGGAATCTTTGAATACAGGACATTGCATCAAATAGCAGGTATCGCAATGACAGCTTTGCATACCACAGAAATAATTGTTTACGTGTGGTGCCTTCTGTCCACTCTCTAAAAGAACTGAGGGGTAGAGCACTACATTATAACTTATGTAGCGGAACTGAGACATACGCTCCAAATTCTTTGCCTTCTGACTTCTTATGGTTAGGACACGGAAAAATCCAGAAAACTGAACATATGAAACTTGCAAATGACTGATATCTTAAGTGTATGTTTGGCAGAAGTGGATCATGCTTTATTCATAATTAAGTTACCTAAATTTTGGGCTCAGGAAGTATTTGTTTCAGACATTGAAAAAAGGTATATGGAGGCACAGCAGACACCAGGACTCCAAGATGGCATCAGTCATACCAGTGAAGAACAAGAAACTTCTGGAGGTCAAACTGGGGGAGCTGCCAAGCTGGATCTTGATGCGGGACTTTAGCCCTAGTGGCATTCTCGGAGCATTTCGAAGAGGTTACTACCGGTACTACAACAAGTACGTTAACGTGAGGAAGGGGAGCATCTCGGGGATTACCATGGTGCTGGCATGCTACGTGCTCTTCAACTACTGCATTTCCTACAAGCATCTCAAGCACGAGCGGCTCCACAAATACCACTGAAGAGGACACGCTCTGCACCATCCCCCGACCCCATGACCTTGGCCCGAGCCCCTCCGTGAGGAACACAATCTCAATCGTTGCTGAATCCTTTCATGTCCTAATGGGAATTAACCTCCAAATAAAAGATGACTGGTACGTGTAAAAGAAAAAAGGTATATGGCTTATAAGGATGAATAAGACGCATTATTCTTTCTGCACTTATATGGTCCACATGGGGATTAAAGAAAGACCACATGCTGGTCAGGCGCTGTGGCTCACGCCTGTAATCTCAGCACTTTGAGAGGCAGAGATGGGTGGATCATCTGAGGTTAGGAATTTGAGACCAGCCTTACCAACATGGAGAAACCCCATCTCTACTAATAATACAAAAAGTAGCTGGGTGCGGTGGCGCACGCCTGTAATCCCAGCTACTCGGGAGGCCGAGGCTGAGAATGGCTTGAACCCGGGAGGCGGAGTTGCAGTGAGTCAAGATCGTGCCATTGCACTCCAGCCTGGACAACCAGAGCAAAACTCTTGTCTCTGAAAACAACAACAACAACAAAAACAAACAACAAAAAACATGCTTTAGATACTTGAGGTAAGGCAAGGAAATCGCATATGAAAGTAAGAGTCAAATTTCTAAGCTGGGCATGGTGGAGCACACCTGTAATCCCAGCACTTTGGGAGGCTAAGGCGGGAGGATCGCTTGAGCCCAGGAATTCGAGACCAGCCAGGGCAACGTAGCGAAACTCCTGTCTCAATAAAATAAATAAATAATGAAAAAAAAGTGAAAAGAAATTTCTGCTGCCCTCCCAGATGGACGACCAGTTGGTGCTGCAGGGAATAAGGCTGCCTAAAGATAGAATCATGACAGCATTTTACTTAGGAAAGAGCTATGGATGAACTTGAATACTTGGATAAGTTCATGGTTAATATGTCAGATTACATATGACAAATAATACAAGGAGGTTGTTATACACTGAAAAACGTTAGGACAGGTTAATTCAGCGCTTCTCTTTATTTGCAAATTGGCCCCGTAGACCTGTCTAATTTCAGGAAATGTTGGAGGTATTTTGGAATCAGATTTAATCGCTCTTGGTCTGTGCTACTTAACTTGCAAGCATTTCTCTGATATAGTATCAGGTTGGTGCAAAATTAATTGTGGTTTTTGCCTTTACTTTTAATGGCAAAACAGCAATTACTTTTGCACCAACCTACTACTTTTCTTATTGTGCTTTCTTTCACCCGTAAATTCCAAG